AAAAGTTTGTGTTTAGAAAAACCATTATGTACAAGATTATTAATTGTTTGTTCTATTTCGATTGTTGCGTGTTGTGGTTTAGACTCAACTATCATGATAGTAATGATTTGAGGAATTATCAACTTAAGGGTTTGCTTCAAAGGTCTGTTAGAATGTGTTTGGATGAATCTGGTGATGTGGAAATTTATTTTTTTCCTTTTGTCGTATTTGTTTGTTTTGTAGTGCCCATTTTATGTGTTAGTGATTTGAATGGTTGTGTTCAGGAAGTTTGTTTTGATTCCGATGAATTTTTCATTGATTTGTGTTTTTTTAATGATCTGTTCGTTAAGGGTGATGAGTTTCAAAAGGTATAGGAAGTACCGACTTCTTGTGCTAGAGATGTGAGAGTTGATAAATTCATTTATCCTTGGGTTATTAAGAATGTGAAAGTCGTAAAAGTAGCGAAAGATGTGTTGGAATAGGTGCAAAAGATGTTTGTTACTTTTATAGGTCATTTTTTCATAAACTTATATTCGTATTTGAAGAGGTAGATGTTGCACCATACCGGTGACCAACTGACTCCCATAGGAATGCCGAGTATCTGTTTCCAAATTTCGTTGCCCAGAGAAGTGTACATGTTGGTAATAAGCCACTTATTTATCACATTAACGGTCATGTCATTTAAAGATAAAGAGTCGTTAGGTGGGTTTTTATACCAGTCGCAAGAGGGGATGAGCTGGTCACCAGCATAGTAGAATCTGAAGGCGAGTTGGACGCTAACCCCATATTTTTTATTGGCTTGTTGAAAAGCAGGTTTGGTGAAGAATTGGATTGCATTTGGTGATCCATCCTAACTGTCGTTGGTGGGAATGGTTTCATAATATCGTGTGATCGGGAGCTGCGGTGTTTTTGCTTAAGACAATTCTCTTTACGTCTAACACGATAATCTGTGTGCCGGATCTCGCTATGGTTGATTAAAAACATCAGTATTCAGTATTGGACAATGTTTGTGTACCACACACGTTAGTAACATATGCAGACTTAGTGGTTTTCGCTAATATATGTACGTGAGGACCATTTACTCCCGTTGAAGATACATGTGAGAGTCCGTACTTATCCACTTATGAAGCGAAAAAGGAAACTGCGCACTGCCGTCATACTAATCATATCAGCCCCGTTCATACCATAAACAGTCGATTGTGACGACCTCGACTACGTTCCGTCACAACTTCCGCAAACGGTGGGGCGAACCTCGTCCGGTATATTCGAGATAATCACGATAGAAAATCGTATTTTTGCTAAGAGTAGTATGCTTCATATCTAGCGCAACGGTCCATGGGTTATATACCATCACCACAACAGTTGGTAAGTTAGTGATCTATCCTAGCATCTCTGATGTGAAGCGCCAAACCACAGGTGCTAATAAACAACATGGGGGCCTTGTAAGGTTATGCTAAAATACGCTAATTTAGATGACTGCTCTATGTAGGGTTTATACTCCCTTGTTGGTGTTGCACGTGACAGTCTTTGCATCTCTATTAGCAAAGTGATAAGGGAAACAAGCATTGCTTTTATCGGAGTCACTTTTGTTAAGATTAAGCCCGATGATTTGTAGTTGGGATCTCGCTATGATTGCAAAAATCATAATCACAGAGCCTAGTGATCAAATGAAGTTTTCTTCTAGGTTACCTGAGCGGACGTCCGGGACCCCGGGAACAGTCCGGGTTGTCCGACCGGACCACTGGGCCGGTGGTCCGCTGTCCGACGAAGGTCCGGCCCTGCGGAAAATAGGGGCTAGGCCTGGAACGGGCATCTGGGGGGTTGGAGGGTCAGGCCATGTAGTAAGAGGCCCTGATGGACCTCGGTCCCCACAGGCCGAGGCCAACAGGGCCAAAAAAAATCCAAACAGAAAAGGCTCGATGTGGGCCGTCCGATCGATCCGATCGACGGCCCAGATCGGACCTGAATTCAAATTTGAATTCGGGTGGGAACCMCCCGCCCGTGCCCGCCGGCGTCCCCGTCTTGCCCCCCCGCCCCCCCGGTCGCTGTAGACTGCGACCATCACGTCGACGAGCGCGTGTGTGCGCTCGCGCGGACACGGCACCCCAGCCCCGCCATCATCGACACCATCTCCATGTACGTGTCCACTTCGTCAGCCTTCCTACTCCTCTTCTTTCGTCATCTCCTCGTCGTCCTCGTCGTCCTCTTTTTCTTTTTCTTCTTCTTCTTCTTCTTTTTCTTCTTCTTCATTCTACTTCCTCTTCATTCTACTTCTTCTTCGTCGTCGTCTTCTTCTTCTTCATTCTTCTTCTTCGCCTTTTTTTTTTTTTCTTCTTCTTCATTCTTCTTCGTCTCCTTCTTCATTCATTCATTCATTCATTCATTCATTTATTCAATCATTCTTTTTCTATTTCTTCTTCTTCTTTTTCTTCTTCTTCTTCTTCTTCTTCTTCTTCTTCTTCCACCCTTCTTCTTCTTCTTCTTCTTCTTCTTCTTCTTCTTCTTCTTCTTCTTCTTCTTTCTTCTTCTTCGTCTTCTTCTTCTTCGTCTTCTTCTTCTTCTTCTTCTTCTTCTTTCTTCTTCTTCTTCTTCTTCTTCTTCTTCTTCTTCTTCTTCTTCTTCTTCTTCTTTCTTCTTCTTCTTCTTCTTCTTCTTCTTCTTC